ATCGGTTTATAAACAAAGAAGTTATGCCCGTACATACATAATAAATATTTACAGACTAGTTGAGTTTCCTCCTACTTTTTGCTGGAAAGCAACCGAAACGTCAGGAATATAAAATAAGTAAATTAAACGCGATAAAATCCGTAAAAATAGTTTTATTCAATTTAGCTATGCTGATAGGCACCCAATATATTCAATGAATGAGCAAACTATTTTATTCTTTTTACTATTTGAAGCCAGTTTTTAATTATTTTAGTTTAATTTTTTATGAAGCCGCCAGTAACAAACGAACTTAAAATTTATCTGATGATAAGTAAGTGGCTACTGCAACCCATGGACATCTGCAACAAATTACAAACGAAGAAAGCTTCAGATGCGTTGTCCCCTTAAGACCATGATTAAATGCCATCAAGACTCTGGGTGGTAGGTACTGAAGTAGTCTATAGGTCCTAGAGATTTTAGTACTTATTTTTATATACTCTTTCGTATCTTTGGAATAAGTTTGATACGGAGCTGGATAATTGATAATCATATGTTTCATATGATTATCAATTATATTATACTTTATATACATATCATATTTTAGTATGGGTTATTGTTCCAGTTATGGATATGAATTAATTTATTGATGTGTGCCATTTACGTATATATTTAAAAAGGTAACAAAATAATTAAATTATGGTAAAATATACGTACTTTCATAAATGGACTAAACAGATAATCAGAAGCTGTGAGAATTTACTACATAGCAAATGTAGTAAATTCGTTTCGTTTAAATAGATCGAAAACTGATCTAGATATAATATATTTATTTTAAATTCGGTTTCGGGGAAGTAGGTACTGACGGACAATATTTACAAAAATTAAGTTTTGGTTATTACAATACTGGAACGCTTCTTCTTTAGAAATTATTAAAATTTTGTTTATTATTTATATATACCTATTAAAATTTTTGCAATATTGTTTTATATGGATTAATTAATATTTTCTTCTATCTTTAGAATAAGTACAGCTTTGTCCTACATAATATTTTTTTTAAATCTGTTTAAAAACTTTGATAGGTGAATTAGGAAATTTTGTATTATATAATATAAGCTGTATTGTTGCCGTGAAATCGTTGAAACTTGAAGTATAACAGGTACCTATGAAACAATGGCTGAAAGTAAAGTAGGTACTTACCTACATCGCACGCTTTGATTATAATCTATATCTATAGATGTGTAGATATTAATTGTATAAAAATATTTCCTGAGTGACTGACTCATCTATCAACGCACAATTCAAACGGCTAGACGTGGATATCTGAAATTTGGGCAGTAGCTGCCTTTAATGACATAGCTATCCACTAAAAAAGGATTTTGGAAAATTCAACCCCTAAGAGATTGAAATAGATTGAGCATAATTTTACCGCGATCATTACTTGTCAAGAAATTAGGAAAATGAGCGTTTTTCGTCGCGTACGTATTTTGATTTTTAATTTAACACTGTTAGATTTAAAACTGTGAGGTAATATTTGAGATATACTTTCCTCTAGTTATGAAGAATTTTTTAGGTGACAATATTTGTAGTTAAGACTAGTAGAAATCTTATTTACGAAGTAAAAAGGCGAAAAGGCTGGAATTAGGGGCATGGCTGGTAATAGGGGCATCCACCCCATTTACGAAAATATAATGTATGTACACAAAAATATAAGTAGTTTTAATAAAATAAATGACATTGACTCTGTAAATACTAGTATCAGACACAAGCTAGAACTAACGAGTACCAGTTACTCGACTCCACAGAGTCAGTAATTCAATTTCACTCGCAGGGCGATGTAGGTATACGCTTTTACCACAAAATCCCAGATATAGGTAGGGTCGTTGCGCCGGTAAGCCGACCGGGTCTAGTTTTCGGCCTTTGGCACGAGGTGATGCAGTAAATTTGATTTAATATCGATTTTAATAAATATTATCGTCCTAAATTAAGTTTAATGCATTTGTAAATAGTTGCATTATATATTACAACATTACTTCATCGGGTAAACACAACACGCGATTTATAATAAATAGTTCAGTTTGACGCCGGCACAGGAGCTGACAAAGAGTGTAAGATCGTGCAAAAAAAATAGTGGCGCGTGTTTCACTGAAAAGTAAATTTTGCGCTGTATTTACAATGATTATTTAATATTGTGCTTCTATTTCACTGTATATATAACTTAATTTTAAATTTTCACATAGATTACTATAATATTTTATTGTAAAACTTAATAAATTAGGTGGCCGGAAAGTGACACACAAAATTTTCTTATTATTTGGTTATCGGCCATGTGGCCGGAAAGTAGCCCGTGTTTAGTCTAAATACTTTGTCTCTTTCATTTATTTGGTAACCTACTATTAGTCTTCTTTCTTTTTTATAATGAATTGTATCCTTGCGAAGACACTAGCTTTCAGTTTTCGGCCACCAAATATTGCAATTTGAATGATTATTGATGTAACTAAAATACCCATTTTAGTTGTGGCCGAAAACTAGATTGAGTCTAAAATTATTATTTAGTTTTCGGCCAACTCAAAATTATATGAAAGAATAGGGAAGCCGAAAATTGAATGCTGCTTTGGTTGACGGACATTTCATGAAATATTTCAATCACGTTGCGTTTTAGGAAGAAGATTCAATAAGACGTTATTTTCTTCAGATGACTCCTCCAAAGAAATATAATAAGTAAATGGTTTCAGAAAATGTGGACTTAATGAATGTGATCACCATGTAGTGGATTACTCAAAATGTGTCCAGAATACCCCGGAAAGAATAATTAGTGAAAATTCAGACACTAGAAAAAATATATTTCTAAAGAAATAACTAACGCAGATCTAGTTTCCACAACAAAAGTTTTGAAACATTTAAAATCAAATCTGGCAGAAAAAAAACATGGTTGGCGATGTTCTAGTAGCTATGAATTCATCTACCGATGCATTAGAATCGTTTGTCGATAACAACATTTCACATTCCATTTGTCAGGCAGTTATTTGGATATCAGTTTTTTAGTATCATTAGATGATGTTCTTGTAATCCCAACTCAAATGAGCCTACCAATGACAACAGTACTGACAATGCTGGAAATGGTAATAGATTCCAGTAATGCAATAATAACGACTCAAAGTAGTACAATGGCCACGATGATACCACCACCACTAACACCGATGATAACAAACAACCCCTTTGAAACTTTAGAAAATGTGCTGGTTGATATTCCAATAAAACAGACTAGTACACCTCTAGAAACTAGTGAAACATCGGCTTGAGTACTATTAAATAAAGAATACAGAGATGCGATAGAAAAAACATTTATTTAAACCGGAACTCGTAAAAAAATCAACCATTAACAGTACACGTACACCTTCTTCTGTAGCAATTTGATATGCAGAGTGGCGATAATTTTAAAAAGATAAAGAGAAAGTTAAAATAGAGAAGTTAGAACTAAGTTAAAAAAGATAAGATATTTTGAAAAAGAAAAGAATATAAAAAGAAAAGTTAAAAAATGCTAAAGTACAAAAACGAAAAATCGCAAAATCCAAGAATTCCATGAAGGAAAAGGAAAGAGTAAAAGTAAATTACAATTTAATAATTTAAAATGAAATGTCATAACACCAGGTTGTACCTGGTGTTATGACATTTTAATAAGCGATACAGAAGAAGATATGGAAAAAATTGGATGTGACTTTTGCACCAAATGGATTTGAGATGTATAGACTTTGTTGGACTAAAATATGAGGCAGCGTTCGGGAAATTACAGCACCTCAAAACGAGACTGTACATACAGTGCGTGTTGCCAGTGATGACCTTTGGAACTGATATGTGGTCCTTCACTGCTGGCCGGATGAGGAAGCTCAAGGTTGCTCAGCGAGCTATGGAGAGGGCTATGCTCGGAGTTTCTCTGCGTGATAAACTTAGAAATGAGGATATCCGTAGTAGATCCAGAGTGACCGACATAGTCCAACGGGTTAGTAAGCTGAAGTGGCAATGTGCCGGCTATATAGCTGGAAGAACCGACAACCAATGTGGAAAAAGATTCTCGAATGGCGGCCTCGTAACGGAAGACGAAGTGTAGGGTGTCCCCCCACTAGATGGAGTGACGACCTGGTAAGACATGTAGGAAGTCGATGGATGCAGCTGGCTCAGGACCGTGTTTTGTGGAATTCCTTGGGGGAGGCCTACGTTCAGCAGTGGACTTGTGAAGGGATGATGATGAAAATATAAGGAAGTACAAAAAAATGAGAAGATTTGATTGCCATATTTAACGACACGAAATTTTATTATATTTTACAAAAATTATATTAAGTTAAGGTTAAGGCACCTTTTATATTGTGTCTAATGCAGTGGCCGAAAACTAAAATTCTTATGGGCCGAAATATAAAATTTGGGGCCGAAAACTAGCATTTTACATATTTTTCACATCAAAAATTATTATAAAAAAGAGATTTTTCTTGTAGCATCAACGAATTACAAAAATGAAAACTACATTATGTAAGCTACAAATTAACATTAACAGCACTAAGCCAGCATAATGAAATAATTTTTTCTAGTACCTTAAAGTTAATAACTCCACTAAAAGGCCGAAAACCAGCGCAATGACCCTACAAAATCTGACTTCCGCCCAGTTTAAAATCTTTATTAAACAAAGATTGTATAAAAAGGGTTATTAATTATTATAATATTAAGGAATTTATGGATGATAATAACCCCTGGGAATTATGTGATCGCTACAATGCTATATATAATTTGATTTGTGTTGTTAATTTTTGTGTAACTTTAATTATTATAAAGTGTTATTTTTTTGCTCACATGGATTTGAAAAAAGTCCCGCTAGGTTTCTTGCTGGTTCTTCCCACGAGGGAGGTATTTCCGGAACCCGTGGTAAATTAAACATAAGAATAACTCTCAATAAGTATTATTTATAATCTATATTGAATAAAAAAGTTTCTATTTCTATAGTATACTAAGATATTAAAATTAAAAATACTTACCTGATGAGATAAGATATTCAGCAAATCCTGAGCAAAGTGTCATTAGAAATATAAGAAACACGTTCATGATTGCTAATCACAGGAAAAAAAAGCAAATAAAAAAATCTTGCATAGAGTTTGGTATTTATTGAGTTTAACCTACATACAATAGACCTTTAACCAACATATTACAAATGATGTTACAACACCCGTATACTTTTTGCTACAGTCGTCTATTACTAATAATGCACTGAATTTTTTTATAAATACACAATAAGTACTCGAGTAATCTGCTATCGATCAAGTTATGTCGGTTTATCTTATTCTTAAGGCTAATGTACACAATAGTACTGTATATGGAGTACATGAAATAAATTCTTATAACAAGTTAGATTAACGATAATAATAAATTTGCAAAGCATATCGAACATTATTATAGGTAATTAGATAATTTAAATTAGTTTTAACATGCTCATGAAGATATGTGGGCCCCTCAGAAAGTTAATGAAACAAAAAGAAAGTGATATCGTTAAAACTTTTATTATTAAATCGTTTCAAAGAACTCTTCACCAGTATGTATACAAATTTCATACGTTTCAACCAATTTTCGATAAACTTTTCCATTTTGCCTCAGACCCCTCTCCTACGGCCAGCTCGAACGCTGCTAGCGCATCTCTCGGCGCTGGAAACTATCTCTTTCGGCTGATTTTTTTTATTTTAGATGAAAAAAGAAGTCACACGTTATCTATTCAGGGCTGTAAGAAGGGAGGTTAAAAAGGAGTGCGCGGAAGTTTTTAAGCAAAACAAAAATTGTCTATTTGATTAGGTCAGGACTTCGCCCTCACTCTCATAACGCATTTTTCAATTTTCATTAACGCCCACCTGTTAAGAGTACTCGTGTCTTAATTATTTTGCAACTATTAGGTAACTGTTATACTATATTATAAATTATAATAGACACTCATGGACAAATTTAGAGGAACACAAAAATGTTTACTCGTATAAAACAAAATATGTAAATTTGTGAAAATTAAAAAATTAAAATTATCTTAATTTGTGTTACGGCCTACAGCTGCCCCTGCAAATGTCGAATCTCCCGGGGCCCATGAGCGTAAGATTCAACGAACAGCCGCAGGTTCGAGCCCGAGTGGCTATATGGAAGAATTTCCTATAATACTAAGCTATATGGAAAATGTTTTATCCTACTACAATTTAATGGGGAGGCTAGTCAAATAGAGATTACTTACCTGTATATGAGGCGACTGCTGTCTCAGGGCTAGGTCAGGCCGGAGATGTGTATGTGTTGAGTATAGTGGTGTTTTTGTGGTGTTGGTTGTGATAGACCTGACTGGACTGTTGAAGTCGGCAGCAGCCCGGACTTCGGCACCGCTCCAAATTGTGGTAATCTCCAGCGGCGTCACCCACAGTCACTTTCTTTCTTCTTCACTATGTCAGTCTATTAACTATACCGTACAATTAACTAACTTCCAGACGCCACTAACACTCGTTTATTATAAAGCGTAACATACAACACGAATACCGAATGTTCGGATCAAAGGTCACTTCCGTTTCGCGTGGCAACAATTATTTCTAGAACAATTCAGACGTTGATCGCAATCAATGTTAACTTCCTAACAATTTGTTAGCCCGGCTTCTAATTCTAGACTTAACAAAAAACCCTCGTCGTGGCAACAATTTGCTAACAAAATCGACTCTAAAAATGGAGGTTTCCCGGGCGACTTCATGACGTGCTCTCAACAGCACTGTATTCTAGCAACTGACCTCGTCGTGGCAACAATAACTCCCGTTAACCGCCCACACTTCTACCGGTTATGAACGCGCCGTATCGAGCCGAGCGCCCTCCAGCATCAAGTTTTGAAACCAACGTTTGTTCGTGAACAATTTGTCTTCCAAGCTTATCCCATATATTCTCTATAGGATTTAAGTTGCGCTGGCCACCTCATAATATTGATTTCTACTTTTCAAAGGTTTTTCGCAGTATTTATACGGCGTGCATTGTCATGCACAAAAAAAAACAAATCTATCTCCTATAAATGAGGCAAATGGCACTACAACTTCTTCCAAAATTTCAGTAATATATACCATGCCATTCTCAATGACGCGGAGTTCCGTAGATCCCGCCATACAAATACCTCCCCATACCGTAAGTGACACTCTAACACTCTTTTTCAATAATGTTGCTCTAAGCGTACCTCTCTCAGTTTTTGACTTAGTTCAGGTTCCGATTTAGTTTTAAGCCAGATGTTGGAAGAACCAAATTATGGAGACGACTCGGAGAACGATATGCTCAGTGTAAAAAAAACGTTCGGCGTCACATGGCATACTGTTCACATTTCTGTGCCAGGGCACCACAATTCCAGCTCATTTACTTGTCCGCCAACAAAGATCTGCCCAAACTGTTGATAAGCTCGGATCACTGGCGTTGCGATAAGATTTCACATCCCTCTACATTTTCTATTATATTTACCGAGGAGAGTACTCATGGTAATTGTTCGGATTAATTCTGACATCCAAATTCCAATATAGCCCATCACGATATCATCCACGTGATGTGGCAGCTTCCACTTTATGTGTTCAGCATTTCTCCTCGCACGATTTCTTTGTGGAATCGTCTTCCACCTGCGATTTTTCCAAACCGATACGGCGTAGAGGCCTTTAAGACCAGCATTGCACCTACATTTCCTCTGGTGTTGCACTTGTTCATGAGCGGTGGAGGTCACGTATCATCAGGTGAGCATGCTCGTTAGACCCCTCTTCTATAAATAAAATTTTGACACCCTCGTTTGGATCGGCGTTCTGATGGAAAGAACCATTGCCTTCCTAAGACTGGAGGCGATGGACGTGTCAGATCATACGCAGATACCACACAATCCGCTTTAAGTAGACCTCTGGCTCCCATCCTTAATTAAGGCTATGCTTGGATGCTTGAGGTCGTAGAGCATCGGTGTTATCTTTGCTTTGTCTTTGCGGAAGGAGGCTACGGATAAGAAAGAAGGAAGAGACGGCTGATATGCCAATCCACAACCGGAGAACCAGACGTCATAGGAGAGCTTATCAGACTTTTTTCATTTCCCCATAATTAGCGTCTTAACGGCGGACACGGGGGTTATACGTCGCCCTATGCGTAAAGCCTCTAAAATGTGCCTCCATAGGAAGAAGGGGTGAAGAGATCCAGCTCAACTCACCCAAGGAGGGGACTGTATGCTTACTACTGCCGTTGAGGCAGCGGTAATTTGCGAAAGCGTTCCCATAACCCTGGAAAAAGACTCCGCGATAAACAAAGTGAGGTTTTAGTTGGATTTATTCACGTACAAAAAAGTAGCTTAAATATTTGTTGTAAATTAGATATTAGATATAAATTCAACATTTTATCGCGATCAAGTTTCTTTTTACTTATATAAAACTAAGTGTTATTATTTTTCACTGGGCATGACGAATGGCAGCCCTTGTTAAAGTATTTTAGTTGTAAGCACATTTCCGACTCTTAGCATCCAACTCTAGAGAAAATCCAAAAAAATCCAACTCGTGGAAATATGTCAAAATATGGATTGTGGAAAATCGCAGCAATTACAATAACTTTCTACTGATAAGTTAACTGCGACTCCAAAAACGCCAAAACTTGAAGTTCCGATCTCACCTTAGTGTGCCGTATACAAAACATATGCGCGTTGTATACAAAACATATGCGCGTTGTATACAAAACATATGCGCGTTGCGCGATTAAATTGTATCATGTGCAGTTTCGTAGTCGAAAAGATTTGTGTGTTTAATACTCTGAAAGATAATCTGAAGTTATTTAAAAAGTAAAAAATTAAGTAGCTAAGTATTTTCTTATCTTATCCATTTATGCTTGATCTGTGTTATTTGTCGCAGAGCTTGATTGCGGATAATGTATGAGGTTACGCTACCGGTATAAAATATTGATATCGCAATTTTTAAAGGTAGTCAGAGCGAAAGCGGTTAAAATTCACCGATACGCTACCGGTATAAAATAAGGTTCACATAACTGAAATTATTTTGGTAACGAAAAATATCGATTGGGGTGGAGGAGTAAGCGAAGTTGCAAGCCTATAGGCGGACAATAACAAGTAATTCTAAGAATCTAATTGGAAACTAACGTAATTTTGAAGTGCACGAAAAAGAAAACCTTTACGTTGATAATTGGTAGCGATAAAAATAACGATACCGTTATTTATAGGTATCGAAAAATTTGTGTATTGTAATTTTAAGATATCGCGATAAAAAGATATGACATCATACCTTTAACCGTTATAACCCATAGTTTTTCGCCTTGATTTGTTGCCAATATATCTATTTCTTATAGAATGCAATGGACTTACGAGCACATAATTCACCTGGTTATACGTGGATGCTGTGGCTCTTAGACACCTACATTACAAGTACCTACATATATCCTTAATTAAGAATCAAAATGTAGAAACATTGTAACCCCTGAATACTAAGATGGAAAACTCGTTACCAGTAAAAGAAGTCTCCGGTTATGCCATCTTTAATATTTACACCTTAATAATTTGACTTGTCTGTCGCATGAGTTTGTAAATAATTTTGCCTGTTTCCCTTTTCAGTGTGATAGCGGTGTGTAACCCGTCATTCCTTCTCACCTTAAACTAGTCATAAGAGTAATCTTTATAAGTCGGGAAAAAGTTTCTTCGTATTTTGTTTGTATAAAATTGAAGAAACAGCTCTTTGGTTGTAGTTTTTTTACCTGGCTGGTTTTAATATCAATACATATAGGACACTAACTGTTCCCCGCGACTTCGCCCGCTTGTTATTTGGAGTTTTAATTTTTTGCGCGGAACCCTAATTCTTTTTCTAAAATAAAAAGCCTAAATTACACCTTGTGACATCAGCTATCTGCCAGTGAAAATCCCGTCAAAATCAGTCCATCCGTTTCGCAGATTAGCCGGAACAAACAGACAGACAGACAAAAACTTTAAAAATTATATTTTTGTTATTAGTATTATAGTATAGTATATACTTTCATATGTATTTAGTAAAAAACTCTAATTTTGACATTACAATCAGACACTTCAATTTTATTTATTT